TCTTGATCCTTTCAATTGGTATCAGAACCTTGTGCTCACGAAATTAGACTTAACCGTCTAGAGAAAGATGTCTTACGAGGATGGTCCTCCTATTTTTGAGGGGGATGATTTTCCTTATTAGAAAATCCATATGGAGGTGTATTTAGAAGCTCTAGATGTTGGAATACTTAGAGCCGCCTCACAAGGATTCCCAAAACCTCATGATCCCATGCACCTTCAAGGCGATGAAGTAAATTACAAAAAATGGAATGCAAAGGCTCGAAACACCATTTTTAGAGGCCTTTGCAAAGATGTGTTCAACCGGGTGAGGAACCACAAAGACGCCCATGCACTATGGTCGGTTATTTGTGCACTCCATGAGAGAACTAAGAGCGAGAGTGAGGAATGATATCATCTTGTTATGAAAAAGCTAAATTCATTTGAGATGCTTCTCAAAGAGAGTGCTAATGAAATGTACTCACGCTTGAATGTTCTTGTAGAGGAAGTCAATGAGCTTGGACTCACTCAAATGCAACCATCCGATGTTGTAAGAAAAATCTTGAGTGTCCTCATTGATAAATATGGGCATATTGTGACCGTGCTTCATCAAGGTGATCTTTCCACCGCTACACCGACTTAAATCTTAGGAAAAATCAATGCTCATGAGATGTACATACACATCACACCACAAGATGGCTCATCCTCTAGACAAGGACTTAGCATTCAAAGCTAGCCAAGAGAAGGGCAAAGCAAGGCTTGAGTATGAGAGCTCAAGCGATGATGAAATTGATGATGCAAGTCTTGCTCTCATGGTAAGAAGAACCACCAAGATGCTAAAGAAACTCAACAAGAGTGGCATCAAGTTCGATGGCAAGAAAAAGAAATTCTTCACTAGCACTAGAAGGAAGCCAATCTCGGAGATGGATTGCTATAATTGTGGAGAACTTAGTCATCTAGCACATCAATGCACAAAGCCCAAGAAAGACAAGTACAAGAACAAGTACAAGAGCAAGAAAGATAACTCAAGTAATGAAGAAGAAGATGAGAAGAAGAAAAACAAGCCATACAAGAAGGACTTCCACAAGAAAAAGAAGAATGGCAAGGCATACATCGTCGGTGATTGGCTCACGGACATTGATTCATCAAGTTGCTCATCCGATGATGATAGTGATAATGAGAAGGTGGCCGTACTTGTGATCGACTCTTCATCATCCTCACCGACACCACCGCCATCATCCTCTACACACCTATGCCTTATGGCCAAAGGTGAACGAAAGGTATCAAATGATGATGATAGTAGTGGTGTTGATCATGCTAATAATGATGATAGTGATAGTGATAGTGATGATAATGAATTTGAATCACCTTTATATGATGATCTTGTTAAATTGCTAAATCAATATACTAAGATCATTAGAAAGACTAGAGCTAAGAATGACAAGCTAGAAGCTAAGAATGATTCTCTTTTAGCTAAATGTGATGTAGCGGAAAAGGCTAGTGTTGAGCTTAGAGAAGCAAATGATGCTATAACATCCAAACTCAAAGAGCTCAAATCTTCTAAGAAAGAGCTTAAAGAAAAACATGATAAACTTAAGAGGATACATAATGAGCTCATCACTAGCCATAATATACTAAAAGATGAATATACAACTCTCAAGATCAATCATGATAATCTTATCATTGCTCAAGAATTTTTATCCAATGAGCCACATGATGCTACTAACGATGTTGTTAAGATTGATATAGCTACATCATGTGATGATTTAATTGTTGAGAGCATTGAGCAAGGATCTAGCGGCAAAGACAAGCAAGTGGTTGAAACCGACAACTATGATGAGTATGTCAAGCTCAAGCATGATAATGAAAAGCTAAAGAAAGATCTTGAAGAGCTCAAAAGCACCAACACTATAGTGCTAGAAACTTTTGATCATGATGGTGACTTGATTCTTGAGAATGAGAAGCTCAAAGAAGAGAACAAGAAACTCAAGGAAGAGAAAAATAATGATGCACTCAAAGAAGAGAATAAGAAGCTAAAGTTGGAGAAAGAGCATCTCAAGACTAGCTTGAGCAAGTTCACAAGAGGCAAACATCTTCAAAGTGAGCTACTAATGAACACCGTCATGAAGATGGATAGAAGTGGCATTGGGTACATGGCAAATAAAGAGAAGAAGGCTCAAGCTCAACAACAACAACAAAATCCAAAGCCAAAGAAGTGTTTTGAGTGTGGACAAGAAGGCCACTTTGCCCATGAGTGCCAAACTCCACCACCACAACCATTGCCCAAGCATGCTAGACCCTTTGCTTTTAATGCTCATTACATACTTAGAAAGGACTCTAGTGGAAAGATAAAAGTTATCTTCTTAGGACCTCCCAATAAGAATAGGCCTAAGAAAATTTGGTCAGTGCTGACCGGACGCTGCTCAGCGTCCGGTCACCACTTAACTGCTCGGTTTTGGGGTGAACTGACCGGAGCGTCCGGTCACCCCGCAGAGGCACATAACGGTTCGTTTTGAATGAGGGGGTTGTAAATACTTCCTCTATTCACTCAAGGGATCACTTTTGCTCATTCCAACAGTTGAGAAACACCCTTGAGAGTGCCAAGAAGAGCAAGGTCCTAGTGAGGTGATTGAGATTTGAGAATCCAAAAGAGAGGCCTCATTAGTGAAAGCAAGAGTAGCAAAGTGTGCATCCACCCTTCTCATTAGGCTTGTCGTGGTCAAGTGAGAGTTCGTGCTTGTTACTCTTGGTGATCGCCATCACCTAGACGCCTTGGTGGTGATTGAGAGCTTTGTGATCATCCGACGAAGCTTGTGGATGACCCAACTCAAGTTGTGAGCGGTTGTGGGTGATTCCCCACGACGGAGTGTCGAAGAATCAACCCATAGAGAGCATTTGATCCTTGCACGGATCAAGGGGGAGCTACACCCTTGCACGGGTGCTCCAACAAGGACTAGTGGGGAGTGGCGACTCTCCGATACCTCGACAAAACATCGCCGCGTTCCTCCTTCTCTCTTTGCATTAAGCATTTATTTTGAGCAATTCAATTCTTATCTTTACATTCATAGAATTGCCATGCTAGAGTAGGATTAGAACATAGGTTGCTAAACTTTTGTGCGGTAGAACAATAGCAACACTTTCTAGGCACAAGGGGTGAAGTGGGCTAACCGTAGGGTTTAATTATTGCAAAGAATTTTAGAATTAGCCCAATTCACCCCCCTCTTGGACATCTTGATCCTTTCAGTCTTTATCTCTGATGGACACAAATCCACGAGGAGGAGGAGGAACCGGCCAACCTGGTCGGCACCGGCGCCGCTAGGACCCGCCGCCACCGTCGGAGGGGAGAGAGGAAGGAGCCGCGTGGGGAGGACCGCTGAGCGCGTGTGTGTCGGGGAGAGGGAGTCGGGTGTTGGAGAGGGATAAAACACTTGGTTGGTGTTTAACATTACTCATCATGAATTGTGTGTTTGGTTGGTGGAGTCAACTTATGCTTCATCAAGTGATACATCATGAGTTAATCCTATGAAATTTGATAGAATCAACCCCATTTCTCATGCATATACTAATTATTAGCTTGTGAGGAATGGGTGGTGATGGATCAACTTGTTCCATTCCACCAACCAAATAAAAAAGTTAGGAGTGAGAAGAAGATGAAATATCCGGAGAACTTGTTTGGAACGGAGAAAAAACATAGTTATTTTGGAGAATTCAATTCATATCGGAAAAATCCCATGGGACCCTATGAAACTAAGGAATACTTTCCGATAGTTCATTTGAATTCATTGGATTAGACTAATCCAAAGGAGTTTTAAAGGAAACTATATGTTGGTTTAGCTTCATTGTTTCGCTTTCTGTGTTTTCTTACGTCCGAAAGACCTTTTTTCTAAACTTTCCTTTCCTGTAGGGTTGTGATATGGCATTCAATCTTGATGTTTTTTTCTATTATTCCTTCATATTGTAAAGAGAGAAATTTCTACTGGGTTTAAATCGCTACCGGATGACGTTGTTTTAGTTAATTCCTCATTGTATCTTGATTCTCGTGGTAAACTCTTGTGTAGATGCCTAGGCGAAGCGCCTTACTTTGGCTATGTGTTAATCTTTTGGTAGAATTTTAATAGCCAAGGGCCTAATTCAGAGCAAGACGCTTCACTAGGCAGGTACATGGGGACAGGGGATTGTTCCCTATCCCTGCCCCCATGAACTCGACGCCCTCATTTCAATTCCCATGGAGATTAAACCAACCCTATATCCCGGTTCCCTAATAGAGGAATTAAGGCTCCATTGCCATCTTTAGTTGAGGAGGTGTTCAATATCTCAAATGCGTCCTAGGAAGTTTTGGTGTTGTTATATCATGTGACATTTCCGAGGTATCGGGACGATCGTTGTGGATAATTGAAGGGCGATGCGTGCATGTTGGCAACAAATTTGTGGTGGGGATTGATTCTGCATTGATTCTGGCGAGAATTGAATATTGAGCAGTAATGTTGAGCGTGTTTTTTTTACTCCCAGATTTCAAGAAGTGATTCACATTTGCTTATACAATCAAAATTTGTATAGATTTTTTTTTTGTCTGGCAGAGAAGTATTGCGTTCATTTTCTTACCTAGCAGTAGATCTCAAAGAACAAACGTCCAGTATAAATGTGCCGTACTGCCTTATGCTTCGACTTTTCGACGTTTCGTGTGTTTCGACTAGCTACGACTACAACTAGCATGGACGTATGTTTCGACTTTTCGTGTGCTATAGACCTCGAACAGAAACTGCCGTGCAATTGGCGTTGCGTTTGTTTTGCGTAGAGCGATCGCTTCAGAGGAAAGGCAGAACAAACGCGTAGTCGTCGTCCAATCCGTTTCAAAATCTCTCCACTAGTCCAGTTTACACGTAACCCCCTCGCGCTTCTTCACAATTCCCAAATCCATCCTACCCCGATCTTCTCTCCTCTTCCCCCAAATCTCGGGCACCGCGGCAACCCTAGCCCCCGCGATCCGCTCGCCGGAGGGAAGGAGGGATCCCCGGCCGGCGCCCATGGAGGTGAAGCTGTGGAACGACAAGCGCGAGCGGGAGCTCCTGGAGAGCTACGCGGACCTGTACGCGATCATCAAGGCCACGGAGAAGCTGGAGCGGGCCTACGTCCGCGACCTCGTCTCAGCCGCCGACTACGAGGCGGAGTGCCTCAAGCTCATCTCCCAGTTCAACTCCCTCTCCTCCTCGCTCGCCGGCACCGTCACCGTCCCGCGCTTCGTCCAGGCGTACCGCCTCGACTGCCCCGCCGCGCTCAACCGCCTCCTCCAGTCGGGCGTCCCGGCCACCGTCGAGCTCCGCGCCGCCTCCGCCTCATCCGCGCCGGCCGCCACCGCCGCCTCCGCCGCAGCCATCGCGCACTGCGTGCAGACCTTCATCACCGCCATGGACGCCGTCAAGCTCAACATGCTTGCCAACGACCAGGTCCGCCCCCTGCTGCAGGACGTCGCCACATCCATGGCCAGGCTCGGCCCCCTGCTGCCGCCCGACTTTGAGGGAAAGGTCAAGGTTAACGAGTGGCTCGGCAAGCTGCATAAGATGGGGGCCGCGGATGAGCTCACCGAGACGCAGGCCAGGCAGCTCAACTTCGACCTCGATTCGGCCTACAGTGCCTTCTTGGCTGCGCTGCCCGCTGCTGGTCTGTAACCGGGCAAGGATCTGCCAGCTTGATTCTTATTTGGTTGGTTCTATTATGCTTTTGGCATTGGAGCACTACTCTGTACTCTCCACTACTGTAGTACTATAGATATCTGTAATTTCGGTACTGCTATTTTGTTGTTAATAAGAAAGTTCTGTTTTCTTTGTATACAGTAAATATGTTTATTGCATGATATACATTCACATTATAATGCTTGCAAATGGCCTGTTTATTTGGGTACATTTCTGTTATTCTATTCTCTGTGGAACGTATGAAAAAATTGTTCTCTCCCATTATATGTCATTATCTTTCTACTTGCATGAAGCCATGAATGTTCTATTCTCATCTTTGGGTTACAAACAATCTAAATGAAGAAGAATGACTTAGTTGAGAATTGGGGGTGTTCTTTGAGTAGTTTGAAGCTCGTTTGATTTGGGAATTAGTTGTTCATAAACATTGGGCATGGTATGCTCACTACCTTTGTAGGGGACCAATACTAGGGTACCCAAAGAGAAAGAACTAATGACCATCAACAATGATTCATCCGAGCAGTCAAGAGCGTGACTACAGCTCCAACCGACCCCTAGGCGCACAAGCTCCGCTTCGCCCGACCTCTGGGGACGTGCTCCGTCTCGCCCGACCCTTGGGTTCGTGCTCCGCCTCGTCCGACCCATGGGTTCGTGCTCCGCCTCGCCCAACCCCGAGGTCGCGGGCTCCGTCTCGCCCAACGGAGACCCATGCCGTCGCCGACCACTCCAGGTCCAGGTGTATGGGCCTGGGTCAAAACTCTGACACCAAGGAAGAGACCGGCACGCCCCGATGTAACCCAGTGGCCACGATGGGCCATACCTAAGGGTTCACATCAAGAACAGCGTCGGGCATGCCGGTGCTGTTCTGCCTAACCATTGTACGAACGCTGACAGGCGCGTCAGTTCATCACGACGTCCACCAAGACGGAATGGAACGCCGTGACTGGCAGACGACGCCTGCGCGTGGCGCCAGTGACGGACAGGGCCGCGACGTGGAGCAGTCACTGTTGACATCTACAGGGTCGACGAGACCCGCATAAAGGAGAAGAAGGACCCGACGATCCTGATGGACTTCTTCTTCCTCTCATTCTTCTCTGTTTCTCCACTGTAACCCTACTTTCCCTTGTCCTATAAAAGGGAAAGCAGGGCGCCTCATGGAGGGGATCGACCCATTGAGGACCGATCGAATCACCCCAAACCGATCAGAACACGAGATAAACACACAAGGACACGAACACACGGCTGAGCAACGATCGAGCTCTCAGCACCCGTTTACTCTTTCCACCAGAGACTTGTCATCATTTCCCTCTGTTGCCCATTTGTACCCCCTACTATAAATTTGCAGTGCTAGTAACACGAGCAACAGTAACAAACTGGATGTAGGGACTTTCTGCCCGAACTAGTATAAACCTCGTGTCCTCTAAGCACACCATCCGAGCCAGACGCGCAATATTAGAAATTTACTCATCAGTGGTAACTCGAAACACCGACAGTTGGCGCGCCAGGTAAGGGTCTTTTGCGTGTCTCGACGTCCACTTTAGGTCTCGGATGGCCAGTCACGGCGTCAGCTGGGTCCTGGGCGCGCACGTACGCTTCGGGAACCTGGAATTCATCATCACGACGGAGGGAGGGTTAGTGCAGGCTCCCGCCACCGTCCAACCTCTCCACTTCACCGGCCTCAATGCGATAGCCGAGGTGCTTGAGGAGCTGTAGCTCCACGCACCGAAGGCCCGTGCCCCCGGGAGCGACCAGCTCCTCGGCTTCGACTATGGGAGGTTAGAGCGCCAGCTCAGCGCCTTCCTGGGACCCCGACCGTCCCGAGAGGACCTAGACTGCCTCACCCTCTCGTTCACCAATGTCATGACGCAGTTTGCCGGATGAGAGCCACTCTCTCTGGAATACCTCATCCGAAGCGCCCCGACGGCGCTCCCACTTGGCCTATGCAACGCCGCAGAGACTGTTGGCCATCTTGTGGCGCAACGCACTCCTCGATCCCCTATAAATGATGAGTTCGTGGGGATGACCGAATATATCGTGAAATCTTTCTATGACCACCTCGCAGGAGAGTTAGAGTCGCCCTTCGACTCTGACTCCAGTAGGGGGAGCCATCACCCCTCTCATGAATGTTTCATGGCAGGTACCCCCGAGGGACACGTCGAAAGCATCCATGAGGAAGAAGTTACCTCAACGACAACGACAAGGCCGAGGGGGATGTAGGGGCCCCTCCTCACCTACGGGTGGAGCAGCTGAAGGCCCAGCACCAAGAGCTCAAGGAAGCATGACTCCAGCTCGAGCAGGAACACGCGAAACTCGAGCGAGAGATCAAGTGCCACAGAGATGGTGGGCGCGGGCGCTATGGCCCGCGACGTGAACCAGAGGATCATCGACGACAATGAAGCCCTCCCACACTTCACCCGGGCGAGCCAGAACATCGCTGCTGCGGTGGCCTTGCTCTGGGGGCTTCCGGGGACCGTGATGCCTGAGGATCGTCGGGCCCATCTCGAGATTCGCACACTACTCGAGCGTGCGGTGGCGCAGCAGGCCGAGAGCTCGCTGTCCCGACGACACGAGCTCGACGCCAGCCAATGCACACCCTCAGAGCGACCCGACAAGGACATGTCGGTCCATTAGGCGCCGCAAGGCGGCAAGCTGCTCACCGTGGTCCCAGTGCATGAGCGTCTTGGCTGCCACCATGACGCGCGCGACACCCTCGATGCCCGTACGGGTGCCCGCAGCGATATGAGGGAGGGGGCTAGCCACGGCTACCACCCTCATCGTGGAGGACGCTACAACAGCGGCGAGGACCGAAGCCTGAGTCCCGACTTGCCGGGACCTCAGGCCTTCGTTCGACACATCCTCAACGCTGGCTTCCCACCACGGTACCGATCGCCGACCAACATCCCAAAATACTCTGGGGAAACGAACCCCAGACTGTGGCTCGAGGATTATTGGCTTGCTTGCCAAGCCGGTGGAGCAGATAATGATGATTTCATTATCCGCAACCTTCCATTGTTCATGGCCAATTCGGCGTGAACGTGGTTGGAACACCTTCCGCCCAACAGAATCCAAAGTTGGGCGGACCTGAAAGAGATCTTCGTGGGAAACTTCCAGGGCACCTATGCGCCTTCTAGGAACTCATGGGATCTCAAAAACTATCGACAAAAGGCTAGGGAAACCCTTCATGGGTACATCTGGCGCTTCTTCCGGCAGTGCAACGAGCTTCCCAACGTCGCCGACGTCGACGTCATAGGAGCTTTCCTGTCTGGGACCACCTGTGAGTCCCTGGTCCATAAACTAGGACGTAAAGAACCGCGAACCACCAAGGAGCTCCTCAACATCACCACCAGCCACCCCTCGGGCGAGGAGGCGGTCGGAGCGATCTATGACCACCTCAAGGGCAAGGCGAAGCGGGACGAGGACGCCGGCGAAGGCGCCTCCAACTGTCCTAGCAAGAAGAAGAACAAGCAGCGGCACGAGGGCTCGCTCATGGCCGCCGTCAACCGCAAGGGGGTCGGAAGCCTGCTGAGGGTACCCCAAACCACTTCGAGAAGCTGCTTGAGGGGCCATGCCCAAACCATACCTTCCCCGTCAAGCATCTATACAAGGACTGCGACCTCATGAAGCGGTTCTTGTCCAGAGGCTCCAACAAGGGGGACCCCAAGCTAGCCATAGACGATGCCGAGGGGAAGGATGACGACTTTTCAATGCTAGATGGCTGCCTCATGATCTTCGGAGGGTCAGCGGCCTATGACTCCAAGTGCTGCCAGAAGCTTGCGCGCCGTGAGGTCTATACGACTGAGTCAGCTGCGCCTTCCTTCCACCAATAGTTGGAGTCCGCCATAACCTTTGATCGGATCGACCACCCAGAGAGCGTCCCATAGTCGGGGAGATATCCGCTCGTGGTCGACCCGATCATCGGTATGAAGCGGCTCACCAAGTACTGATGGATGGAGGCAGCGGCCTCAACATCATGTACGCCGAAACACTCGACGGCATGGGCATTGACCGAGCACGCTTCCGGCTGACCGAGGCGCCTTTCCACGACATCATGCCTAGAAAGCAGGTCGTGCCACTCGGGCAGATCGATCTGCCCATCACCTTTGGGGATCCATCCAATTATAGGATGGAGACCCTTACCTTCGAGGTGGTCGGGTTCCATGGAACCTACAACGCCATCTTGGGATGTCCATGCTACGCGAAGTTCTTGGCCATCCCCAACTACACCTATCTAAAGCTGAAGATGCCGAGTCCGTGCGTGGTCATCACCATCGGCACCTCCTTCCAGTGCGCCTACGAGTGCGAGGTCAAGTGCTGCGAACACGCCGCGGTGATCGTCGCCTCCAAAGAGCTTGCGGCCATTAGGAAGGAGGTCATCGAAGAAGCACCCGACCCCAAGCGGTCGGTCGGGTCTTTTGAGCCTATGGAGGACGCCAAGGAGGTCCTCATAGACCCCAACGACTCTAAGGGCAAAGTGGTGCGCATTGGCACCACACTTTCCTCCGAATAGGAAAGCACGCTCGTCGACTTCCTCCGCGCCAACTGAGACATCTTTGCGTGGAAACCCTCGGACATGCCAGGCATTTCGAGAGAAGTCATGGAGCATGCCTTGAAGATTAGGCTAGGCTCCAAGCTGGTGAAGCAACACCTACGTCGCTTCGACGAGGGGAAGCGTAGGGCCATCAGCGAGGAGATTGCGAAGCTTTTGGTGGCATGGTTCATCAAGGAAGTATACCACCCCAAGTGGTTAGTCAATCCCATTCTTGTATAAAAGAAGAGTGGGAAATGAAGAATATGTGTTGATTCCACGGGTCTCAACAAAGCATGTCCAAAGGATCCGTTTCCTTTTGCCACACATTGACCAAGTAGTCGACTCGACCTCAGGGTGCGAAACCATTTGCTTCCTTGATGCGTACTCCGGGTACCATCAGATCGTGATGAAAGAGTCTGACCAGCTCGTGACATCTTTTATCACCCTATTC